GAACAATTATATTGATTTTTATAAAACTTATTTCATTTTTCTCGGGGGGGGGGGGCGAAATTTCCCATCCCCCCCACTGGATTGAACAATTTTCGGAACGANTTATATGTGTGAAATAGAGTACACACAAATTAATTGTTACTAAAATATGAATTATAAGCCATACTTGATGACAAGTTATATAATCAGGAATTGTACGATGATACCATGCTTTGATGGGATGCATTTTTCTAGTGGACGACGTCATTGATTCGTCTTCGATAGTTATTTTCACTTCACCATTTTGTACAACAAACACATCATCAGACGATGACTTTTGATTAGATTGAGTTTCCTTTTTTTCATGGATACTCTTATCAATAGACAAAAATTCTACTGCAGTATCAGATATAAACTGTTTTCGTTCAACAGAATGAGTAGCAGGTTCATTAGATGTGGTACGCTGATATTTATTCAAGTACAAAGGATTTATAACAATTGACCGTTCAAAGTTTCCGATCCGATTTATATTTTTGCAATTATCGTCTGCCATTTGGAAAACTGAGTCTTAGAGTCTAAAATCAAATAGGAACAACTAATCTTTTATTGATAGAAATCAATTAAATGTAGAGATATGAGTTTTCAGGAATGAAACTTTTAAATATAGGGTGTGATTAGGTATATATTCACACCTACATATTTATACAGTTTCATTGAGCAAACACTCATACGTATCTTTATGCAAATTTGTAGATATGGTCTTGTATATCCACAGAACAGGAAAAATGGATATTTCAGTTAAACAAAACTAAAACTACTAAATGACGAGATAATAACTCCAATATTTTTATCCGTGTACAAGATTGCAAGAAAAAAGGAAGAGTTCTGCATGAAAATGTGGGAATTTGCTACTGGTTGGAAAGTTTTTTCACAACAAATGTTTCATGACGGATCATATTATTTTCGATATTCTAGTATAGTCAATTTGATTTCTGTCAGCGATAAGAAGATAATCTGACTCATCGGTGTGTGTCCTGGAAGTGTATTCATAGTATATTCTGTGATTAGATACATCTGTCTCTGTTCTACAAAATGCATATAAGCACACGGTGACCTCTCGTGTTTCATTGAGAAACATTATAAGGGTCGGAATGTGTTAAAAGCGATATTTATGCAAGTATTTCTTCATTGTGTAGTCACTTTTTCTTTACAATTAAATGTAGTACATTCGTAAAAATTCATTTAAGAAACAGGAGGCAATATTTCGTCTACAAAATTCGTGTATTCAAAGAGTTTAGGAATTTTATTGAAATGTCGAATTTATCATATTTATCTGATAAATTTTTCACATTTCGATTAGTTCAAGAATGAATAAACTGATATAGGGTTCAACGAAAAATATTCTTCAACCAAAGAACATCCGAAGAGAACTACAAGGTAAAAATTTTGAAAAGAAAAGAACTAAAGGAAAGTATAGATGTCTTTTATCGAAAATGTTTTTTTTTTCTAAAGTTTATATCATTCTGCTCAGTATTTGATGCTGAACTTGGTGTTAATATCGTAATATCACATCAAGCATTGCTTTTGATACGAATGATAAAAACTAAGTCTTAAACTATTCAAATATAGGATATTTTATTAGACAAATGCGTAGAATTTCACGTTTGAGCAAATTTTCAAACGTATTTGAATGCATAGATTTCGTAGAAGAAACATTGGCACAAGTTATTTGTATGAAAATGTCCCTAATGTACTAAACTGTGTTTTGAAGAAAAGATGGCTGCACAATGAAAGAAAATTGAGAGAAATATTGTTTTTAGCACATGTATATAGTGTAAAAACCTTCCAACCAGTGAAGAATATCTCACCTTATCGTGTGAATTCCTTTAGAAAAATTTTGGTTCTGCAGTACATCTCGGTAAATCATTCAATCTATTGCAAAACAAAGATATATGTAAAAAAAAACCTTAAACTCTCTAATAAATAATAATCAACTAAAGATATCTATTGCGCTCTAAACCTAATTTTGTAATAGTTACCCGTAATTTAACAAGCAAAATTCTGCTATATAATTTATGACAGTCGTAGTTTAATCATAAAAAGTTACTTTCGTCTGGCTTTTAAATCGTATTAGTAAAATTTTTTTTATTTAGAATTCAGACAGCATTTTATAGGCAATATTCAGGCAGATACATGACGCCGAGACAGCGGAAGTAGATATTGTGTCATAGTATACAAAGGATTTATTGCTTTATGATATACAAGAATTTTCTGCAATGTACAGAAAACGGAAGCACAGTTATTGTTAACCGAAGTAAAATGATTTTTTTTATGATATATTGATATAGTTTTTTCTTTCCGTTCTTGACTGGTTGCTATTAAATCATGACAGGTAAGACATACACATTGTTGTTTTGTCATGTTATTTTAGTCTGTTCTGTTGATTGTCATATTATATTTTATGATGTTTTCTTTTACGAAGTGGAAGTATCATGTATTAAGAGGACTCCCCTTCTCGTTTTACGGGGTTTATGGAGGACATCTCATGAGAAAATTTTGAAATTTTCCAAGCAAGTAGATTTTGAGGAGTAGAACAAAAGCTGTCATCTACTAAAAATTCTCGAATGCTTTCTTTTATGAGATACTGGGTTTAGGGATGGCTCTTTATCTTTAATATCCTTTATTATAAAGGATAAAGATAAATGATTCATTTATCTTTATGTTTTAAAAATAAAGGATTCATTTATCTTCATTTTATAAAGTAACAATAAAGTACCACCCCTAGCCAGGATCGCAATAGCGATAAATAACCCCAATTGTCGCCCCCGTGTCTTCAAGATGCTACGTTCGATGGAGCTGAAAATTTTTTACACATATTATACATTGTTTGAGGCGGGTGTTTTTTTTTCAATTTATTTTTTATTTTTTTGTTCTTCGTATAACAAAGCGAAAATACCGAATGTACCGGAAAAAAAAGGACTTTTTTAAAGAGCTTTTCTTGGTAAGAGTTATCAAAAAGCAACAGAGCAATATTGTTGGAAACAAAAAGAATACTCATTTCAAACAGTGTCTAGTTTATGTGAGAACTTGTAGGTCCCAACATGTACTCAATAGATAGATACTACGTGAAATTAAACAATGACCACAAAAAAATAAAAATTTTAAAATCAGAGAAGTGGTAGGTATACCCTTAACACTAGATCACAGAATACAACATGGGTAAGTTAATCAACAAAAGTATTGTTCTACGATAGAAGTAAAAGTTTTGATAACCTGAATCAGAGCTTACAGAATCATAGATCAGATCCACTATCTTCACATCTTCCATTTAGAACAGTTTAATAAAGCTCATCATGATTTGGCCTGCTAAATTATTCTTATGAATCCTAGTACATATATTGTGAAAAACTACTGATTTTTTTTTATTGACTATTGTTAACCCTTCGTTGCTGTTGTGGGGTCCAAGTGAACCCACTTTACAGTTTTTCGTGTAGTACTACATTAACATTTGTTGTTTCGGATCATTCCTTTTCTCTAATCTCTAGTCTCTTGTTATTGTACAATATCATTACTAGAAATGGTGAATAGGTCTAACAGTGAAAAGACGCAGCTGTAGGTCCGCATGAACTCCACAACAGCTATTCTGTTATTGGTAGCATTTTTTGTCTTGCTGAAGCTGCCAAAAGTAAAGCTTGCTTTACTGGCTCTCGGTTATCATGTTCCTTCGAAAACTATGCAAGAACTTAATGTAAACACCCATTTGAATCGAGTAAAAAAAAAGAAGATATTATTTGTGTCCATCAAAACCTGGATGAAAAGTTCCACAAACTTGTCATGATTGTGGTCCAAATAGCTGCGTTTCTCATTCTAGCAATGTCACAGCAGTAACTTGCCCAACATGTCAAGAAAAAAACTAGAAAAGATTTGTATTTGTGAAATGAAGACAAACAAACTGAAATAAAAACGACTTCAATATTGTGACAGAGAAACTATAATTTTATAGTTTTTTAATCATGAAAAAAAGAAGAAGATGAAAATAAAGATGAATAAAAAGAAAAATTCTTTCCTTATTATCTACATACAACTATGTGTTAATACATGAGCGTATTTCTACTGTTCTAGACTAATGGGATGAAATATATTCTTTGTTCAATTATACTTCCATGCTGCTATGAGCGCAGTTTCAGTCAACATTTTTTTGATATTGTACACTTCCGCCATGGAAACTGACATGTCGACCTATAAAACAAGCGTATTTAGAAGTCTATAGTACATAAATGAATAGCTTGAATAAAACAAAGTTACCAATTCTTTTTGATTTTATATGGGTGGGTCCAGGCGGATCTCACAACAGTAATGAAGTTTCTAAACGAGAACAGTAACGAAAGGTTAATAGTCATGATTCAGAACAATATCAAGAGTCTAATTATCTGTTCATTGGTCAGCACTTGAAGTACTTAACAATAAAACTACTTATTCAATCAAGTCAGATGTATGCGCATTTAGTATACTAGTAATTGATTATTGTCTCCCATGATCTATATATACTGACAAATATCGTACATATATTGCGCTTGGTGTTATGGATGGATACATTCATAAACAATCATCAGACTATTCTAATCATTTTTATCAACTAGTAATACATCAATGTCTAAGGGTTGAATCACATGGTCGACTAAGTTTTGAAAGATTACAACAGTTATTAGAGCAAGTGATATTTTTGAAAAACTTTTGCTCAATATATATCATTAAATTGATAGAAAAACAAACACTACCAGTGATAATTTAAAAGTAAATTCTATAAGTTAGAAATTACAATTGCTGGTATTCCCCAATAATTTATTTTAATATTGAACTTCGTTTTTAGTTATAAGCAAAACTGCGAGATTCAATAACAAATGTAAATATTTACGAATGAAAAAAAAAAAAATGAATGACAACAAAAGTGAAACAGTAGTATATCTTCATAAGTTTTTTTGTCTTTTTTTTAATTGAAATCCATATTAGATAATGTCTTTTCAAATATGTGGAGTCAATTCACCTAATTTATTTAGAAGTCCGTCAAACATTTCAGAAGACCATGAGGTTGAACTAGCCAATGATGCCGTATTATAAAATCTAATATAAGAAAGACCTGAAACTAAAGTTCTAATTTGTGCAGGTGGCCAGTTCAATTCTTCAATCAATAGAAGTATAATTGGTTTATTATGTTGTTTAGCAAAACTGAGTTCTTGTCGACATTTATTCGATTGTACATATCTACTAGTGATACAGCAAACGAAAACCGTCGATTTTTGTATACCTGCTTCGATCTCTGGACAAAAGTGATCATTATTACTCGGTATCTCTTCTACATCTAACCAACAAAAATAATTTTTCTCTTCAAGTTCTTGTTTCAATTGTATAACGGTATTTCGATGAGTTCGTTCATAACTCAGAAATATATCGGTCATCAAATCTGTTGTATATGAATCAATTGAACATCGTCGAACACGTAGTGGGAAATTCGGGTTAATGTCCAAGTCGTGCAGAGTATCTTCTTTACATAGTTCAGCACCTTCGTAAATTAAATTGAATGGATAATCGATATTAAGTCTGTCACATACAATTCCCTTGAGTTTATCTATTGTTATAAATTGGTTTGGAAGGGGAATTCTCCGCAGAGTACCATAACACTCAACATTCACTGCATATTTGTTGGACATTATCTAAATAAGAAAATTCTCTTGTGTATTGATGATGTTTAATTATCATTATGAAAAACTTCTTCCAAATTACTTTCAAAATAGTATTTTTTATATTAAAATGATTATTTTTTTTTCTTATGAGACATACACTTACTTCTTTCTCCTTTATGTATTCAGTGTTGTGTAAATAAGAAAACTGACATTTTTTTTTGTTAAATTTTACTTCGAAAACAATGTGCTTTAGACGAAGAACAAAAAATATGGAGCAGCTTATTTTCGTTTTTTTTATTTTTGTGTTAGCATTTGTTTTATATTTTATAGAAACAAACAAAATACATAGAAATTAGGCATTGTTACTGGTTTTGTAGTTTCGTTTCTTTCTTGTTGAAGTTTAGTCTAATGAATTCATAAGCCGTGCATATCGTTATCTTTGTTTTACTGCATATATAAATCGGTGGAATTTCAAATATAAATGCTAATGTAATGTAATATGAATAATCATTGTATTATATAATAATGAATTAATTAGTCTTATGATAAATATAGACTCTTTGTTTTTTTTTCTCTTTTTATTTTTAGCATTAATTTTTTGAAATAAATATACCATAAATTTATTGAGTTGAATAGGAGAAAAAAATGCATGTAATTTCATCAAGAGTTTGTAAAACACTATTTCTGCTCATGAGAACAGTTTTCTCTAACATTTCAACGTACCTTTCACAATTGAATTGAACTATATTGATGTTATTTTACATCTAGACGTTACACTTTTTGATTTACGTCCGTGTACAACAGTAACTGCTATTTATATTCATTAGCCGATACCTTAAAGTAAGTTAACACTTGATACGCCGACAGCAACACGTTATTTAGATTTCATAGTATCTCATTATTCTTCTGCCAACTCTACAAAAATAAAGAACAGCTTATGCCAGCGGACGATTCGGTCAAAATGCTGATACTCGTAAACAATTATCTCTCTGATTCTTATATTTTTGTCCAATAAAGAAGCAAATGACGTTCTTCTTATCATTTCAATCTTCTAAGAAATTCTAGCAAGTCTATTGATTTAACCAGCAGCCCAATTCGTAGAACAGCAAACAAAAAACTATCAAGTTCTTGTATTTATTCTTTCGCATTTACCATAACTACTGTAGCAGAGAGAGAGAGAGAGAGAGAGAGAGAAATCATATGAAGTATATCATAATTATTTTATATTGAAGTTAATAAAGTTGATCCAGATAAAGAACTTTTCATTGTTTATCACATTAAAATCAAAGTAATTTTATTAATGATCTTGAAAAAAACATATTTGAAGACATGTTACATTTCCTATTGTAGTCTTCAATTCGAAGAAACCTTGATTATCAAAGCTAATAATCTATTTATCAACGAATAATGACTGGAAAGCTTCCTAATATTGTCAAAAGCAAAAATTAATATAACTCTATCCTTTTCTATTTATTTTGATTTCATTTCGAACGAATAGAATCGAGTTATAACATTTGTCTCACATCATTTGTCATTGCATTTGTGAAACTCAAGATCCTGCTATTTATATTGATTCACAATATAATCAGGCAATCCAATACTTCGCATACACTTGAAAGTCAGATTAAGAAACGTTGAAAGAAAATTAAAAAGAAATAGCATCTTCTTAATAATTCTCATCTTTTTATTATTTATTGATACCCATAAATTGAATATATAAAAGTGCATATTATCTTTATTCTACGTTTGTTGATAATATCAGTGAAAGAGGTATCAATAAACTTGTTTGACATTGCCATGAAACTAATGAAATCTGTTATTCTTAAATAATATAATAGAAAAAAAAACAAGGAAAAAAATTGAAAATATTTAGATTTACAAAGAACACTTGTACAAGTTATCCTTGATTAATATCATTATCCTTCACAGTAGGTGTATCACATATGGGTAAAGCAAAGAAAGATCAATCATATTCTTGTTGTTTAACAACACATAAGGTCTTTATTTTCGATGAATTCCTGAATAACCTATTATCAGTTATTCTACATAGAAAAGAGTGTAAAGAAACAAGATAAAAAGCACAAGATTAGTATTGTATGTAAGTAAAGGACAATTATTCGTGTCGCATACAACCGACACATGTTATTGCAAATGGCTTTCTTTGACCTGACATCAATTGAAGATGATACAATAATGTCGATGAACAACGTACGTGATGTTGTTTTGTTTTAATTATAAATTTGAGGAAAATAAAAAACAATAGATGGTTGGTTGCATATGCAATTTTCTGCTTTTGAGTTTTAGCTTAATGATTAGATGATAGGACGAACAGAAAGAAAAAGAATAAAAAGAACTAATTTAATCAGTTATCTTCTTCCGTATATCGAACGAGACGATCAATTTGTCGCACGACAAACGGAAATGGCACGTCTCAAAAAAAAAAAAAATGCCTCGTCAGATATAACACATCCACCAACAAAAATCTTCATCGAACACTCATTTCAATAAATTTCATTTGAACAAGATCGATTCAACAAAATAATACATCATGGTAAATTTATTTCATATAGATTATCTCTTTTAAATAATTAATATGTATTTTCAAGATAATTGAAACAATTTTTTTATATTTATTTAGAATAATGAAACAAACAATTTTGACCAATATCTTCCAATTTTTTCTATGATATCCTATTCAGATATATTAAACAGTAATCTTTCATTGACTCTTGAATCAATCCTATCATCATCATCAACATGGAATAGGACAGATTTATTTCTATCATCTGAAGAAAGTATTATTCTTTATCGTCATCCACTTTTATACGGTGTAGCAATTTATGCTCTTCTACTTATTATTGTCGGAACCATTGGTAATTAAATAAAAGAAAGATATTAATATGAATAATATTTTGTTTTTCAGGAAATATTTTAACTATAATTATTCTTCTTCGTCCTAATTTACGACAACATACAACAATGCGTTATTTTATAGCAGTAGCAGTTGCTGATCTTTGTGCATTATATTCTTGGAATTTAAACTTATTCTATAAACATTTAATTAGTCTCTATCAAAATGATATTGAAGATGCATCCATGATATCTTGTCGTTTTATATCTTTTATTGGATTTGTTAGTTTACAATTATCATCATGGTATTTAACATTAGTTAGTATTGATCGTTGTCTTAGTATTCATTTTCTATTTTGGCGTCGACAATTAGGTCGAGCTAGTCATTCGACATATATTATTCTTTGTATAACAATAATAATTATTTTTCTTAATATACATTTACTTTTTTTAAATGGTTATAAACAGTCTAATTGTATTCCATATGGAAAACGTACTTGTTTTAAATGTTATGAACGTTTAAATGATAAATATTATATATTTTGGAAATGGGAAACAGTGCATGTTGTTTTTTATAATTTAATTCCTTTGTTTGTCATGCTTATATCAGCTTATTTTATAATTCGTCGTTCACGATCATCAAGATATATGGAAAGAGCATTATCAATTGATGGTAGAATAGATTCATTAAATAGTGATCGTCGAAGTAAACATAGACAATTAACTCGTGTACTTTTATCTCTAATATCTTTATTTGCTTTCTTAACAACACCAATAATGATTTATAATGTTTTTTTAAGAAATTACTTAATAGATCGTAAACCATTAAAATATATTCTACAAGGAATACTATTATGTAAACAATTTACGCATCATGCAGTAAGTTTATTATTAATTTCTATTAAATAAATATCAAGAAGAATGGATTTTTTATTTTAGATAAATTTTTTTGTTTATTGTTATGGTGCATCTATGTTTCGTCGTGAACTTGATGAATTTTTTTTAATTTTTATAAGAAAAAAAAATTATATTATGAATCACGGTTGAGCGTCTCAACACACTTTTTAAAAAGAAAACACTTAATAAAGTATTTATGCATAAATAATTGAATAGAAAAGTCATTGATCTATTAATTACTTATTGAATTAATCGTCAGACAGATTTGTTTTTCAATGATTCATACATTCATGCTATTGATAATGTCAGTCATGCGGTCATTGTATTCTTATCTGTTTGTCTTTATAGAAAGAAATCTTCTGTAAAACACTTTTGAGTGCCCTATGCAATTAACGTGATTTATACTATTGATAAATCTTTCATATATGCCTAGGCTGGCTGAGTGGCATCGCCATCTGACTCTTGAGTTTCGATACTCTGCCTGAGCACTATTCCGTGTCATCGATTATCAGAGCCAAAGATCTTCGCGCCACAATACTAATTGATTACTTCATCCAAACTATTTATTGACCGACTCGACTGTTTCTCGAACTTGATTTACTCTAATTACTTGTAAAAATGCGAAAGCGATTGAAAACCGGGACTTAGGATCCAGTTTCTGTACTCATACAAGTTGAATAAAAATAAAGCATTAATTTAAAAAAAAAATCTTTCATATATAGTTTTATTATTCTCTGGTGTTTTTATACAGGACTGATTTAATACGAATTCAATTCATTATATGAATGACAAATAAAGTTATATTTTTATTTCATGTTATAGAAATGATGGATCTTTAGCAAACTTTATTTTAAATGAAGTTCTTTTTCATATGTGTCATATGTTTCATTTCATTTGCATGCGTATTATAAAAGTATTGTAATGTCTTTAATATGTCATAATAAACTTCCTGCATGCATTCTTTGAATATATAGGGTGTCTCATAAATATCTTTATGATAAAAAGCTTGAATGACTCCCATATATTTGATTGTAATGGGATGGATTTTTATCGACGATAGAGACGTATTTCAAATTTTTTATTGATAAGAAAAATGTTAAGAAATATTACTACAACCAATCACTATCGAGTTTAATCTAGATTTATGAGCTTTTACAGATCATGGAAAATTTTCAAGTGTATAGATTTCTTCTCTGACAGATATGGAACTAGTACTGATATGAATTTTAGACCAATCGGTTTGATTTATTCAGACCAATATCGATAACATTCGTCAAAAATTCAGATCGGTTGCGTTTCTAATGTCTGACATAACCTTTTGAATACACTTTGCATGATATTCTTTTGAATCTCGTAAAAATCCAAAAGTGTTTATTCAAGTCGATTGAATACTCCTCTATTATCAATAAAAAATCAGTTCATTGGAATTAAGAATAGGCGAAGATATTCAAATTTTTTTATCATACACATACTTATGGGACATCCTACATTTATGTTGAATCATGAACAGATACAAATAACAACGAATATGAGCCTGATGACAAGATGATATATTTCATTATTTACTGTCATAACAGAATTATGTCAACAACAATATTGTAATGAAAGAGTGTTGATACAAAAGTACATAATTTCTTCTTTGATGAATATCTTATATTTTATTTTGAAGGTTGTCAATAATAGATTTTACGAGTTTGAATTACAAGATTATTTTACTAATTAGCTCGAACATACATATGATCAGATAATAGTGATTGTTACTTTCTTTAGTGCTTTTCAATAGAATGGTGCATAAAAGTACATGTGAAATAAAAGCAACTGTCATCATTGTGTCTTGTAATTTGTCATGTGATGAAAAGCACGTAAGACGCTTAAAAAGGGTGTGTTGTAGTTAGTATTTCTTGTGCTACTTTTTTTAAACGAATTAATGATAAGATAAGAAAATTTTCACATGAATAACATCACGATGAATGCAGTTATGTTCTACAGCTATTTCTTGTAATATATATGAAATTTACAGAGAACTTTACTTTGCTACTATTTTAATGTTTTCTCATTATGAAAAATGTTTGAGTGTGAGAAAAAAGACTTCACTTTAGGACAATCTTTTAACAAATAAACCAAATTAAAATAAAATAAAATAACTATTTGTCTGATATTTATTCAGTTTCAAAATACAGAAAAACTTAAAACCAACTTTGTTTGATCTTATTATAAAGACATTTTTATATTCACTTCTATTCTTCTAATCAAAATTTCATTTATGACTCTTAGGTTTTGTGATCAATAGAAAATTTTAAACTAAATTAAGATACATGGTTAGTCAAAAAATTAATTCTAGTGAAATGCATCTTCAACAGACAAATAAAATTCGATGTACTAATCGAAAAAGAATTTGATTCGTTATTTAAAATAAATAATGTGCATTAATGAAGTTATGCTATAAACTTTGATAGTGAGAAATATTTGGCGTAATACATAACATATTGTTAAGGGGGTATTTTAGGGTGTGGCAAATACAGAAAACAAGAAACGTCTGCAAAACAAGACATCGAGGAGATAAGAGATAGAAGCGGTATGAGTGATATGACGTTGTTAACTGTACTATGGACTGTAAAAGTTCGTAGATATATGAGATAGAAAGGCGTTAAATTTAAATAGAAAATTGATTTTTCTGTATTTCAAGAGTTCAAAAAATGTCGACAACTTCCAAAGGTTTGAACATGCTTTGGAAGTTGCTCAAATTTCTTTAATATCAGTAAACTAAACAGTTCAGACTTATATCTGTATGGAATATGAGTAAAAAGATATTATTGCGTAGGCCAGGGCAATGCATACATTCAGACTCTATCCGATAGGCACTATTAAAAAACAGGAACAAAGTTTTTGCTGTCAACATTTCATCAAATATCATTAACGCCATTTATGCAAAAATATTGTCGTACAGCTTATACTGTTATAACATTATAGGAGTTAATGCGTAATTTGATCATGCGACACATATAGAAAAAAAAAGAAATGCCTAGAAAAAGCACCGAATATATGAAAGATAAAGAGAGTATAAATTGTAAAGCAATACAAGCAGCGCAGTGGTATAGTGGTATAAATGATATGGAAAAACGGTAGTATAGCTTTGTTAGGTGAATTATAGATATTCAAGGTACGAAAATAGATCAGATAGGAAGGTATTCAAGCTAAGAAGAAAGTTACTTTTTTGTAATTCAAGAGTTAAGAAAAATTTCGGCTACTTCAAAAAGTCTGAACATATTTCGGAAACTGTTAAAATCTGTTTAATATTAGCAAACTAAATAGTTCAGACTTACATCTGCAGGAATTGCTATTAAAAAGAGTGCATTGTATAGGTCAGGAATAGGCGTTCTATAAAAGTAAGAACAAGTTTTCATTGTCAGCATTCCATCAAATGTCACTGACATCCCTTACACCGCTATGTACCTATGCCGCTAATACCTGCAGATATTGATTTTGTTACAAATGAAATTTTCTCAAAGAAAATCAGTTTATCACAAAATCAAATCTTCATCATACGTAAACGACATCCAAATAAAGACTGAAGTTAGAAATGAATAAAATAGCTTTTAAGAATAGTTTTTCGCGAAGCATACAACCAGAATAATAAATCCGTTAATAATAAGTTTCGAAGTTGATCAATGAATTTCTGATCGAGGTAGGACAGAGGCGACAAATTCGTTTCGTGAAGCGTACTACAATTATGCAGTTTAAACATATTTTAGTGCCTAGCTCTGTGTTCTGATTGATGGATTCAAACAATAGACAACGATGCGTATCGATTTGATTCGAGCTTAATACATGCTTATTGTGCCAGTGAAGAAACAGGCTCCATATCATCATATTAAGTAGCGCGTCACGCAGTATAAGGGGTACAGAAACAGTTCCTAAAATAAAAAATTGTTCCAAATGGATGTAAATGCTTCAAAACACTTCGCATTGCAAAGTAAAATACACTACAAAATTATTTTGATACTTTCAATCAATAAATAAATCATAGAAAATACGTACGAAGTTGCTACTTTGTTAAGAAAAAAATCTCGTTGCTTTTTTCCGATTCTTCATAATGAAAAAATTTTCTCTCAAACTTGCAAAATTTCCTCATACGCGCATAGACACGTGACTATTAAGGATCACGTGATATGATATCTAGAGTAAATATCCATGTATATTATTACTTAGTAGATAACAGATATTATTGAAATAACGTATTCGTACAAATATAAATCATTTCTCGACAACATATCATATCTCTAAGGTTAGTTTAAAAAAATTCGAGTGCAATTCTTTTTTAAATGAATACCAATTCCAAACGCGATTTAAAATATAATAAACGATTATGAAAAAAATTAAGTTAAAATCTCATAAATTACCGTTTAGTTTGCTTAGGAACATCGTCCTACGATGATCTATGTTGAGAGTGGGTAAACATCATAGATCTTAATTAATCTTGATCATTGTTTTATTTCTTTTTTTTTTCTTGAGAAAATATACCAACTACACTTGCCTTTCTTTCTCGTCCTATCTTCAATATTAGAAAAAGAGAACAAAAATAAAATAAATGGTCTTTTTTTGATATCAACATATAATTATTAATTACACATTTAAAAGTGAAATAATTATTTCTTTCTCTCGTTTTAGATTTTAATCCTTATTTGACTCAAGTTCTTTTTATTTAATAAAGTGACATGGAAGCAAACGCCTCATGTGACTGGAAATTTTTTGATAAAAGAGAAATCGGTATAACTTGTGCAGCTTTCAGTGGTGGGCAACCTCGACCAGGCGTTGATTTAGGACCAGAACATGTCTTAAAAGCTGGTTTGATCCAACAACTCAATGAAATGAATTTCAATACAGTATTAACAGATGATAAAATTNAAGAATTTACACGGTGGCTTTTTAAATTCTGCCAGAACGTATTGGAAATTTTCGCAGAAAATCGGACGTGTTTTCAATTTTTGGTGGGGGAAATCCCCCCCCATCACCCCCTAATCGGCAAGCCTGCCCAAGAGACGAAACAATCGATGACGATGCACTTATTGTAGTAACTGGTCTTGGCGATTTCACATTTTATAATATTATGGTGTTATTCTTATTACCACCATTGTCATCAATGACTACTAAAATTTATGTGACAATCGGCGCTATAATTAGTGTACAAATCGGATATATGGCAACGAGTTGGACTCCAATATTTTGGAATAAAGAAAAGTCTATACTTGCTCTTCCTTTACCTATAATCGTTTATTCAGCTTGTGCTATCGTAGTTCATATACTTTTACAAAATTCAAATACAACTATTTGTTAATGCTTTGACTGATATGGATGTGGGTGTCGAATTAGAGAAGAATCACACCCACACCCTCAATTCTGTTGAATTCACCAGCTTTTTGTAAGTCTTTAGTTGGAAAACCGAAATCTTTCCAGCAAAAAGATATGTTTGCTTTTTCATTTTTAACCATAGCATATCTCAATAGGTGTTGTTTGAAAAGAAATTTGATCCGTTCGAATGTACACTGCGTTGTATGCGATGGTGAAACAACATCGGTAGTTGAGCAAAACGTTTTAACCAAAATTGATGATTGAGAAGGTTCAGTCGAAATAGAATTAGAATTAGAAAAATTAATTGATAATGATGCTGTTATTGCTGATAAACGAAGAGAGATCGGCAAGGATATTTTGTGGAATATGAAGAATGTCTTTTTTTAGGTGACGAGAATTTTATCTTTTTCTTTGTTTTGCTTCATATATTTGCTGCTCATTGCAGAAGTACTTTAACCAATGGAGAAATTATATAGAATTTTCAAAAATTTCATATTATATTCAAAAACTGGTACATGAGCGCTCATCACAATATCGAATCAGCCTGACCCAGTTCATAAAGTTCTATTCAAAAACAATACGGTCCATGGCCTAGAATGGGTGAAGCCAGACTTGGCCTTGCCCATTGAGACCTCTGGTAGAACACTAGAGTAATAGATAAAAAGTGAAGGCTACTCGTAGCATAGCCATGATAGAATGGCAGCAATTTTTTTTTTCATACCTGGTCTTTCTAAAACTAGTTCAAAAGCTTTTTGTGAATTTTAAGTTATTGATATTTCTATGTCTATAAGAGGTAGCAAAACTCAAATAGTTTAAATATCAACCTATTTTACTAAAGAAATATCTGAGAAAAGAATATTACTTGAGAGGACTAAAACTTATTAGGCATCCTTTACACGTATGAAAAGATGTAATTGAAATGATTGTTTTAAATCTTATTATTCAATGTCGATCGTATCTTTTGTTTCATCGATTCATAAAGTTCAAATGATAAACTTGTTCGTGGTTCTTTTTTATTTTCTTCTGCTTACTATTTGTTCTTGTTTGTTTTCCGTTTTTTTCTATATTTCGTAGACGATTTGGAGCACATTACAACTGAGTTGGAGGATACGCCGTTATTGATATGATCACCTACTGATGATCTTTCTTTTCTGTCTCATCTTTATCACCTCTCTTTCTCTTGATCTCTCCTATGTAAGCGCGTGTTGTATATGAAGTAGTTACATTGTGAAAATATGACGTATCTTAATAAATATAATTAGCGAGGGTGACGATAGACGACCTATCAAGTTTGTCATCACTATTCCCTCTCCACTGCATACAGTGACTTGCTGATAATGTTTGTTTTCTTCGAGAGGTATAAATCGAAAGAGAAGAGAGACGAAGAGAAAAAAACAATAAAAGACTGCAATAAATAGCATCATAACAGACAAACCACAATAATACATTCGAACAGACAAGAAAAAACAAGACATCTAACCAAAGATGTGTCATCACGAAAAATTATGATAAATTGATATCCGAAGCTTCGCATCCCATTTCAAAGTCGAGTTTAACTCGAATACTATACAGTTTTTTTTTCGGAAAAGATATCAACTGCTTTTTCTTTTATTTCCCGTAATATCTTCAATATAAAAACAAACAAGACATAAACTGTTTACTGAAGTCAGCATGCTATTATAAACTGTATATATAAAGGTTAGATAATTATTTTTTTCTTTCATTATAGATTTTAATCCTTATTTGACTCAAGTTCTTTTTATTTAATAAAGTGATATGGAAGCAAACGCCTCATGTGACTGGAAATTTTTCGATAAAAGAGAAATCGGTATAACTTGTGCCGCTTTTAACGGTGGACAACCCAGAGTAGGTGTCGATTTAGGACCAGAATATGTCTTAAAAGCTGGTTTGATCCAACAACTCAATGAAATGAATTTTAATACAGTATTAACAGATGATAAAATTCATTATTATAAAGAATTTTTTCCTGAATCTGATGAACCGATCGGTATTATCAAACGACCACGAACTGTTGGTATAGTAACTAAAATTCTTACAGAACAAGTTTATCAGCATGCAAAAAGTGGACGATTGGCATTACAAATTGGAGGAGATCATTCTTTAGCCATAGGAACAATCAGTGGAATGGCACGAGCCATTAAAGAACGTTTTAATCAAGATCTTAAAGTTATTTGGGTTGATGCTCATACTGATATTAACACAATGGAAACAACAGAAAGTGGAAATTTACATGGCATGCCATTATCCTTTCTTATTGGTCTAATTAATGAGAAAATTGAAGGATTAGATTGGATTGTACCTTGTTTAAAACCTGAAAATCTCGTTTATATTGGTTTACGAGATGTCGACAAAGGTGAAAAAGAAATTATTAAGAAGTATAATATTAAAGCTTTTTCTATGCATGAAATTGATCGATATGGAATTGGTTCAGTATTAGACATGACCATCGAACATTTATCCAAAGGTGAAAATTCTCAATCACCTATTCATCTTTCATTTGATATTGATGCACTTGATCCAACTGTTGCTTCAAGTACAGGTACTCCTGTACGAGGTGGATTAACATTTCGTGAAGGACATTATATTTGTGAAGCTCTTTATGCAACTGGACGATTAGTAGGATTAGATATGGTTGAATTGAATCCTGCAATAGGTGATAATCATGAAGATACAATCACTATTGGATGCAGTCTTATTCGAGCAACATTTGGTGAAACTCTTTTGTAACTTGAAAAATATGTATTACTCTTGCTGTGTGTATTGGTAGAATCAAATAAAACTTAAAAATTAGTATTCATTGTCGTTGATATAATATCGTTAGTGTTAAGTCCGATTATAACCTTGATGTGTGTAGATGTTTTATTATGTTTGATCTTTGATCGTACTCCTTTCTTTAATTTCACTCTTTCCTTTTACTTACAAAACAACTAGTATTTATATCAGATGTTAGAAGAAAGGTAAAATTTACCAAAATAGATAACATAATAGAATTGGAAAAGTGCATGGGTTATCATATTGAAACAATAAAGAAAGTCAAGAAATATACCAAGAGAATATATAAGAAAAATACCTGACAGAACGAAAGAAAACGAACATATGTGGATAATACCTTAATATATTTGCTTTATGGCACGTTTAACATACGTGCCAGAACATTTACATTAAACTTCAAAATAGATATGTCTACGATTGCTTAATATTGACATAAATTCCTGTTTATATTCTTTTCTTTTTGATAGAATTATTTTAAAATGAAACTAGTATTAAACGATGTCATCTAATGAGTAAATAGATATCTCTTCTGTTCGAAAGTAAAACAAAGTATGAATTCTTGAAATGCATTTAGTAGTTTTTCGAGTTTTTTAAAATCCCGTACGCCGCCATAATTACGAAAAAACAAATGAAACAAAATAAATAAAATTTGAAGAATATTAAACGAACAAAGACAAAGAGAAGCGGAATGATAATATAAATTGACATTGAAAACAGATCGATGAACCTTTTTAGAAATAAAGAATTTGTGTCTATGGATTATTGGGTGCTGATGGAGCTCGAGGAATATGAGCCTGTTGTTGTTCTGATGGTTGATTTTGAGCGGGAACTTGTACTGCAGGTAGTGGTGGAGGTTGTGCTGCTGCTTCAAGATGAACTTGAGCTTGTTGGACATTGGGTGGTGCAGGAGTTTGATGAGGAGGTATTGGCTGAAAAACAAATCAAATTAAAAGGCATATTTCTATACAAAAACAACTACTAATAGAATATTACAGTTGATGCTGGAGCTAATTTCTCGGAAAATTGCTGAAATTCTTGATCAGAAAAGACAGTTTTGTCTTCAATCGACTGGAAAAATAAATTATAATTATTAAACATGTCTAAAATACTAATATATTTTGAAATATGAATGTCTTACCTGCCACCCTTGTTCATTTTTTGCACCTGTTCCATTTATACCAGACATGAATTCTTCTAATGAAAGCATTCGATCATTATCTTTATCAAATTCTTTCATAACATGTTCACGCATTCGATCCATTTCTTCTTGTTTTTCAACTGGATCAGCTTCTGGTGTGTCTTCATGTATTTTTGCTGCCTAAAATAACAAAATATTCGATTTTTTTATATTTTTGTTGAAAAGTAAAAAAAAACCTCTTTTAACATAATTGCTTCAAGTTCACCTTCATCCAAAAATCCGTCGCTATTAATATCATGTAATTGAAAAAATGATTTTGGTGTAAATTGATCTCCCTCTAAATTATCAACTTTTTCCCATACTTCTTCCATTTGATCAACACTGCCGGGATGATTTACTTTTGGATGTTTTTTCTTTTTTTCTAATGCTTCTTCATGTAATTTTTCTAATTTTTTACGTTCTTCAATATTTAGTTTCTATAGAAGAAAGAATTTTAAAAAAATGAATCTAAATATATTCTTTTTTCAAGAATCATACAGAAAGTTTTTGTCGACGTTCAAATTCTTTTTGCATTTCATATTCTTTAAATTGTTGTTCACGTTTTCGATCAAGTTCATCAAGATCTTTTGATGCATGACGAATCAAACGTTCGAGATCAAGTTGACCAAATGTTTCAGAGTTTTTATGATCAATATGTTGAGGAAGAAATTCTTTTATTAATTTCCCATTTGAACCAGCTCGAGCAAGTTCAAGACGTTGTCTCTCTATATAAAAGAAATCAATTGAGATCTTGAAAAAATCTGAATGTCTATCATTTTCCACAAATCAGGTTCCCTGAATTCATCCCTAAATGAAATCCACATTTATGGATAATTAATCAAGTAACGTTCATACTGGTGACCAAATAGGGATTTTAATTTAGGGATTTTTCAATTTAGGGATTTTTTTTTNTTCATCAAGATCTTTTGATGCATGACGAATCAAACGTTCGAGATCAAGTTGACCAAATGTTTCAGAGTTTTTATGATCAATATGTTGAGGAAGAAATTCTTTTATTAATTTCCCATTTGAACCAGCTCGAGCAAGTTCAAGACGTTGTCTCTCTATATAAAAGAAATCAATTGAGATCTTGAAAAAATCTAAGAAAAAAAAGAAGATATTTACCATTTAAATTACGAACTTTTTGTCCAACGAAATCTCTTAATCGAGTCATTTCTCGTTGTTTAGCTTCATCAAGTTGTGTACGTATATGATGTTGAACAAGACTTAAATGTTCAGCAATATTTCCTGACTAAAAGAAATCAAAATGAATAGAAAAAATATATATATCTATTGAATTAAATACTCTAATATCATCTGTTGATGCATTTTCAATTTTCTTTTTAAATTCCGGATCACTTTCAAGTATTTCAACAACTTCTTTCAAATATCTTCCATATTCAAGATTGTCTAACTAAAAAAAATAAAATAAATACGAAAAAATTCGAAAAAAATTATTTCGTCATACCACATCATCGGAAGTATCATTATCTTTTGAAGCAGGCTGTGGTTTATCTTTAGTGGGATTTTCAACAACTGGTGGAGCACCAATCGTTATAATAAGAGCAAAGAAAAATAAAAGACTAATTGTTCGTTTCATGATAAATCTAAAAATATTCCAAATCACACCATGCGTAAGTGTTTCATTTTTCTATTAAATATTGAATGAGCGACATGACAATTGAGAACTAAGAGAGTAAAAACATACGGACTAATACTGCTCCTTAGACATGATATGCATCATTGAATAAGGTTTATTTCGCATTATTGTTATATATAAAAAGTACTCAAAATCTGAGGAAAAATGAATATGTTACTCGTCCATTGACAGTATCGGTGAAATGTGGATCTTATTTGGACGTGTACGGGTGGTCGAATAAAGAACGTGAAAATTAGAGGTCGCTCACTGTTTTGAAATGATTAAAAAAAACAAAGAAAAGGTTAATCTCTATTCGTGACATAGGGTATATCTCTACGGATAATGTATAATCGGTAGAGATTACATATTTTACACATCTATATATATATAGATAAATAGGTATAGAAAATCGATCTCATTCGTTTTATAAAACGATCACTACGATCAAATGGTTTTTTTTACAATCCTTGAGTATATCATCTGGAACATATTTGATTTAAAACCTGTTCGATATCGTATGTCAATTTTTGACTCATCATAATGACTAAGTATAAGATAAATAAGGATTTATTTATATTAAACAAAAAATATGGGAATTTTCTCTTCTTGCATTTTATATCACAATATTACTCTCTTATGAGAAACAATTCTTATGTAATTCGATATTATATATTGATTTATTTTGACAAAGATATTTATTGTTTTTCGACTAGTTGCATATCGTCGAAGACATTCCATCCATGTATTATTGTACTATTTTTTTTCCGATAAAGTCAACTAGTAATCATGAAGAAGTTATTCTTATCTTTCATGATTTCTTTCATCAAGAAAGCTATTAACAATATAGATAACTATGTCGGTGTAAGACATATGATAAAGAAAAAAACAGACAGACACGCCGAACGTATATAAGGCATCTTGCAAATGACGAGATAGAGACAGAATATTTTTTTCTGACAAGAATAAAATATCTCAACTTGTTTATTCTAGATGGTTCGTCTATTTTCTATTGTTATTGTCTTTCTAACATTCATCTATGCAATTGAATGTAAATAATTCATAAGAAAATATTAAACAAAATTATGATATAGCTTTTTTATTTTTTAGGCGCTGCTTTAAGAAGTTCTCAACCATGCCCGCCTGTTAAGTGTTCAGGTAAACCGAAACAATGTGCATATGGTTATCAAAAAAACAAAGACGGTTGTGAAATTTGTAAATGTAATGACCCATGTAATCCACCTGGAAAAGTATTTTTATTCGATTCGAGAGATTTTCTTTTTCTAAACAATTCATTTTTGTTTATTAGGCAAAACTTTGTGGACCCAAACAACGATGTTTTGTTGATAAGAAACCTGATGGAACATTTCAAGCTCGTTGTGACACATCATCACCGAAAAATCCTAAAGAAAATAAACCGAAAGATAAAGCTTCAAAACGTAATATAATTATTTTCTCGTTGAATTACTTTAACAACAATTGGCTTTTTTGTTCTATTTCTAGCTGAGTGCAATTTACCGAAATTAACTGGTCCATGTCGAGCATCTTTCCCACGTTTTTATTATAATGCAGCTACTCAAAGCTGTGAATCATTCACTTATGGAGGATGTCGAGGCAATAAAAATAACTTTAACACAAAAGCTGAATGTGAAAAAGCTTGCCTAGCCTAATCGATCATCATCGAAATAGACTAAATATTTTAATTTAAAATAAAAGAAATAATGCGAGAGTAAATTGTAATATGTTGGTGGTTATGTATCCTAGCGTTGTTCTTCTTTTTCCTATCAAAATTTTTGTATTAGCTCTACTATATTTCTTAATAATAATCCATTTAAATTTATATCATCCATTTGTCGCCTGTTTTTTTTTGTCACAGCAAATTGAATGTCGTTCAGAACAAATTATCATTGTTCAAACAGCAGTAGAAAAAATCAATGTTGTTATAACTTGATCTTTCCTGTTTGAAATATTTTATCAGATATAAAAATGATTGAAATTTTCTCTTGATTCAAAATGCATTATATTGATTTCTTGTAGAATTTGCCAAAATAAAACCAATGAAAATAATTAATTTAATCCTATTCTTCCTATTGAGTCATTTTTGATCCATGAGTACAAATTCCATTCTGTCTCAAATATCTTAGTCAAGAAGTGGAAACAAAGAATTCATTTTTTTACGAACTTATAGCTTGTTGTATTTTCTATAAAACGCTCGATAAGCTTTTTAAAGTGTTATTGATTCAATGGTTTGTAACTCAATGATATAGTTTCTAGGAGGGAATAAAAAGGTATTCTTTCAAGTGATAAAGAGTTAAAATAGCAGAAAAAAACATTCTATGTATTACAAAGACTTCTTAGTCTTTATTCTACATTGCATTCTTCATTATATAAATAAAGTCATCATCTTTTTCCTAATGCAGTAGTGCCAGTTTTACAGATGTTTTCCGTCTTTTGGTATCATAACAAATCTATACTACGTATAAAGAATAATCGATCAATATGGATGAATTCTCATCTATCATAATCAAGGTTATCTCTCTCTCTGATGGAGAAAATAATTATCCATATAAATAGCTGTAAAAAGAATATATTTGATGGACGTACAAAGGGAAGCACAACAAGTTTAACCAGTACATAGGATATCTATTACTGATATATACAGGGTGTTAAAAAACAATTACGCCCCACTCTACAACTTAAAGTATCAATGATATCACAAATGTATTTTATACCGAATTAAAGCGCGTGAAAAACTGGATTTATTGGTATTAAATAGTAAAAGTTATGAAGACTTTTTGATGTCGAACTTAAAAAATTTTGAGAAATTTGATACTTTTTTGGTGTAGAAAAGTAATGTACCGGTAATTCAAAAATGGAGTAAAACATTTTTCTTCGATATTTTTACATGGTTCAATAGAGCTTGTCGACCTGTACAAAACTATATGTTTCAAAAATATTTTGAGTCATCTTTTTGAGATTAATAATTAAAAAAACTACTTGGAAAATCTCAAAAAATATTCAAAAACTTCATTTTTTTTCATATGGAAGAAAAACACTCGATTTTTCAATAAAATTAACTTTGTTCATTATTTTTTTGCTGTCGCAGACGTTTTGAAATGTGTTCATTCGGTGGCGCATGAAAAACTGCATCCAACGAACACATTTCAAAACGTCTGCGACAGCAAAAAATAATGAACAAAGTTAATTTTATTGAAAAATCGANCCATATCAAGACCTCAACTAGATTAGCTCATCTACAAAGTTTCAGAATTTTCGGACTAAGCATTTCCGAGATATAACGTTTTCAAAATATCCATGTATATAAAAATATCCGTAAAAAACTGTGTTTATGCTAACAGACTCATATCTCGAGAATGCTTAGTCCAAAAATTCTGAAACTTTGTAGATGAGCTACTCTAGTTGAGGTCTTGATATAGGCAAAGTTTCACGTCAAAATTCGAAACTTTGACTTAATGGAAAAAATGGGGTCCCATAGAAAAACTATAGTAAAAAGCCGATATCTCAGCCAAATCTCAACTTGGGCACATATCCTCTTAGGCGTTTTCTAGTCTATGCATTCCCTACTTGTGGACAAAATTTCAGCTCAAAAGCTTGTTAGCACCTCGGGTAGTTCCCTCGTCAGATTTTTTCTTTCTTGTTTATGATACAATGTGAAGCATAGCATTTATGTGATCCGTCGTGAGTTTTTTTTTTTACTTCCTACACCAACAGCGTCGGTGCTTCGTATATTCTACCTCAATGAAATCCATAGCCGACAGTTAGAAAATACGCTTTCATAGATGAAAACAAAATTTCATAATGAACTGTTAGCACCTGTTTTCTCATTTTTCAAGAGCATGTGTTCTTTTTTTCTCAGCGGAAGTCATCAAAAAAGTAACTTCTTGTGCACTCAAGATAATTAGCATGAAGACAAGAATGAAAGTTAGTAGTAATTCTTTTTGCTTATATCTGAAATAGTTGACGATGGAGAGTCAAGGTCGGTCCTGTTAAAGATCGCATTTTTCGTCAAAAAACATCGAATTTAAAATTTTTATATGATTGGATGGCCTTTATTGTCTACTGTCAAAAAACAGTATTATTTATCGAAATTTTAATGCTTTTTTACTGTTTTATATAGGATTTACTGATGTCGTTGGAATCAGAAAAAATGAATTTTTTGAATGTAAGTCATTGTTACCGTTTGAACTTTTTCTAAGATTTCCCATAGTGGAGAATCTATCAAAAATGCATGAAATAGCAAGCGTAGCAAGTCATCGAACAATTGGACTTGTGATCTATATATCTTTTCCTACCAGTGTTCGCTTATTTAATTATGTAATTATTTTGACAGTGTTATGTTAGAAGAGACACCTTTTTGCATACGTATGAGTTGTCTTGTCTTTCTTCAACTTCATTCTTTTTTTCTTTTCATCTTTTATCTATTCAAGCAGCTGGTTATGAACGGGTGACTGAATATCCACACGCATAGATCTACACCTCATATGTTTTTTCTCTTCTACATTCAAATTTTTAGATGCTGTACAAGTACGTGCAAGTCTTCGTTTGATCTGCAACAGATGATAACACATGGTCAACTACGATAGGTGTGTTTTTTTCTACCGTTTTACTAACAGAAACATTAATTTTGAATTGCAAAGTTTGTTTAAAATTTTGTTTTCCTACCGGTGCATCGTATATTTATCAGTCATTTTATTCGCTAAACAAAATTTTGAATTGAAGGGACAGTTCTCGTCTACAACTTAGTGCAGTCGGATTTTTTATTTTTGACTTAGTTGTTGAGAAAAATGCATTTCATTTTCACACTAGTATCCGTATTTTTTCGAGCTTTTCGAAAAAACTGACGCTATAAAGCTAATAAAGAAGAATTTGAAAAATCGTGTCTTTTTAAGTTGTAGTGACAAGTATGAGCTACAGTTTGATACCAACTTGAAATCTGTACCATTAGATTTGGGGAAGAAATCTAGGACTCACGGAGACCTACATTTTGACTCTTTGTGTAGGAATAACTCTTTGAAAACTCCATATTTTCAACTGAAATTTTTACTGATTACAGGCATGTTACACACATGTCTTCACATCTCTGTTCGTTATTCATTTCTGCTTGCTTCGGTTAGTATTCGTTTTCTTTTTTGTTTTTGCTCTCTTGTTTCGTTATTCTTTCGAGAAGTATACAATGGTATACGTGTGAGAAACTACTCAGAGGAGAGTCGAATAAAGGCAACTTTAATACTACTGTAAGCTTTCTACGCTTGGGCCTAAATTTTCTGAAAATTTCAGCTAAATTGTTTGTTCTAGGGCGAAAATAGATTCTTCACAAGGAGAGAACCTTAATCAGAGAGAGAATTTAATAGTAATCATTAAAACATGTTTATATCTTTTAATAGAATTCTCTTAGTAGATATTAACGATAAAATTCTTTAACAAATCTGAATTAATTGAGGGATTGACTTTTAGTAACTGCATGAGGTCTTTCGAATTAAATCTTGTTTTTTTCATGTTGAAATGCTTGTCTATTTGAATTCTTTGTTCTATATCTTGTACATTGAACCATATTTCTTTTTATTAATTAAACAATTTATAGTTACATTAGATATATAAGTTTCACAGTAGTGTATGAAGGAATGGGTTAAAATTCTAGATCACTTTTAAACAAATTAGTATACAGTAGTGTCTGACATGGATCAATTTTTTATGACCCGATTCGAGGTCTGACCCGATTGGAGTTTGACACTAATATACAAATAATAGAATGTAGCGTAAAACATGTGAGGAAAAAAAGAAGAAAAGTAAAGTAAAATAAGTGCGTGATATTCTGAATTACACATAACTACATAGTTGTGATTGGTCTACTCCTTTGGATTTAGTCATAATTTCATTTTTCTGTCATTATTGTCGTACGAACACTGTTTATGAAAACTGTGCATTATATAATAAAAATATAATATTTTCCAAAAGAAAACGTAGTTTTGTAAATAAAATATTTATTCTTTTTTTTTTAGGCAATTCATTCATCTTTCATACGTTTTAAGAAACGTCGAATTTCATCCAATGGTACACAGTTCAAATCATAGTAATAATTGTGTTAGCTACATTATTAGAAAACATTTTCTGTTAATATTATTATGTCTTAATGCATTTCTTGGTTGTATGTATTATATTCGTGGACGAAATGAAGAAAAACTAAATCCAATTCCATCAACAACAAATACAAGAGTATCAAATGTTATTCTTAATCGGCAACAGCATAATCAATATGTAATAAAAACAAATAAAGCAATTGTATTTATTAAAAATACACTTGAAAATGAATATAATCAAAATGATTTAATGAGCTTTTATAATCATGTTCAAAAAGAATATTCATTAGGATTAAAATGTACAAGAATACAAAATATATCGAAAACAATGGCTATATCTAATAATACTAATCAAATTGAAAACAATACTAGCATTATCAGTACCAGAGTCAGGTAGAAAAAAAAGTTGTTTGTAAGAAATAAAATTCTTATATGAATTTAAGGAACCCAACAAGACATCTGACTTATGAGGGAATATACCCAACTGACGGACGTCATTCAACTTCGTATTATAGCTACGAGTAGCTCTCAGTGAGTCTAAGACAAGCTTAAAAAGGTTCAGGCCCATGGTCCACTAATATGAACGTTCTAATGCAATTTTGACTGAAAACAAAGTATTGTTGAAAAATCCGAAACAAAGAGTTTCGACCTGAGATTTGTCTTTCTGAAAGTTTCAACGAAAATGAACATGTCTTTCTTGTGATATTCAATTTCTAAAATTTAATGGCTATCAAATATGCCTATAGGTCATATTTCTGATTGAAACTCTTTGTTTTAGATTTTCCCACAATATCTTGCTCTCAGTAAAAATTCTATTAAAATGTTCATAACTCCATATTATTAGGTCCTGAATCCGAATACTGTTAAGCTTGTCTTAGTCTTATTGAATCATACTCCTAGCTATAATATGAAGTCTAATGGAGTTCGATGGTTGGACATGTTCCCTCGCTAATCTGATCTATTAATAGAATTCCGGAATTTCGCCTATTTGACTGTAAATTAGATGTAGATAGAAGCATTCTTAACGACTATATTGATGACTGTAAGCTGTGACATATATATTATAAGAATATTAGCCTCAGCCCTTACATACATCCTACATTAATATTGTTCCATGGCAGCTTGTGAAAGTAAATTAGACGTTTGCCATTGGCAAATATCCTATTGGTGACATTCCGGATACTCCTATTAATCCAATGACAATTATAATCAATTCTAAATTTCTTGACTTATTTTAATCACTTGAATCATTTTCAATAGACAAAAGACTTGAAAATGATAGATGTAATCTATCATAGGTTCGTTTCAGTAACACATAGATTTCAGACAGTTAATAGAATTCCTTTGAATTATCACTTATGTTCTAAAATTACGTTTAAAGAAATACAGAAATATTTGTCATTCGATGTAAAGTTGATTGATGAAAAGAAGAACATAATTATTTTCTATTGTATGTTTTGAAATGAATTTAGTACGAACTTTTTAACGAGAGATTTTAAACAGAATATTATTTTTTATAGACGTGCGGTAAATTCCATAAATTTATTAGAGAAATTAATTGTATTTTTCTGTAATAAAAATGTTTATCCTCATTATGCATAATAAAAAATCTAACTTACTATAACAAACTCTTATAAGATATATACTCCTAATTATATACTGTTTATTTTCAAAAAAAGCTAATCAATATTTCCATCAAAAGGTCCTTTAATATGACACTATTTGTTTTATTACTATCAGTTTGTTTTCGTATACTGTTTACTTGTGTTTCTTAGCCATCTGTCATGTGCCAGATGTATAAACAAAAATAGAATTGTTTTAGTGCTTGTTTTAGATACAGACATATACATTAACTCATACTAAATAATAAACAAAATTTCGGACTTATTTGAAAATGAAATATTCTAATTTGTTAAATTTGAATACATCATATGAATATATCATGAAAATAAGTTAAATCATACGATAAACACATTCCATAAATCACATATGTGTAAAAATCTTTGACTTAGATTATTAGTCAAGGATACGGACATTGGAAAAGTTTTGTTAATAGAACTGATTTAATTATCAAAATAGATGAATTTCTTCTTTCAATTTGTTATCTTCTTATCATTTAATCTCATTAATTAGACTTGAATATCTCTTTATTGATGAAAGCTTAACCACTGTTCTATTTTTGAATTTATTAATTTCTTCTAGAAAACGTTCATCTTCTCGTCATGTCCAACGTACTGATCTTAATAAATTTATAATAGATAATTCTGATGCATGTTTAAATGAATTTGTTGATTTAGTAATAATAATAATATCAAAATCTAATAACTATAAAATACGTGATGCTATTCGTCGTACATGGACATCAGGACAAGATCTTGGTATATATTCTACAATAAATGTAAAATATTTTTTTCTTATTGATTATAATGAAAAATTAGTTCATAATATTCGACTTGAAAATAATCTTTTTCATGATATAATTCAAGTTGAATTGCTACAAGAATATACATTAGTTACACATCGTGTTTTATCTTTATTTGAATGGTCATTTCGTTATTGTCGTACGGCTAAATTTCTATTTAAAACTGATGATGATATTTTTATTAATTTAATATTACTTTTAAAATTTATTTCACCATTAATTAAACAATCAACCAACAATTCATTTTTAATATCAGATATGAATATGTATGGTTTTAAACATAAAAATGCACGTGTATTTCGTCATACAAAAGATCCAGTATCCGATAGATATATTGTTACAATTGATGAATATCCATGTGAACGATATCCAACATTTTTATCTGGTTTTGGTTATTTAATATCAAAAAAAGCAAGAGATGCCATTCTCTATACTGCTTATCAAGATCCAGAACCATTTCGAATATCCGATGTTTACTTAACGTATGCTTTGTTATTGCCTTTAATGAATATTATAATTAATATATTTATGTATTTTTCTCTGTATAGGGGTATCATACCCGATTATCTATCCATTCCACGTCAATCATTATCTGATTATGATATTGAATTTACAAATGGTTGTGACGAGTTTTTTCGTCATTCAAAAGCATTTGCATGTGCAAACAGTATACATCATGGTAATACAAGTGATACTTTTAGTAAATTTAATCAATATTGGCAACTTGTTAAGAAGAAACATTTATCAATGCATTAGTTTTTCCGTTTTTTCTTATTATATATATTCGTTATTATTATTGATAGTTGTACTTTTATTGAGAATAAAGAAAAATTTAATTAAAATAAAATAAAATAATTTTTTTTATTAAATTCATGCTTAGGCTAAGATTTAAACCATATGTCTGTCACTAGACCTATTCTGTTCTTGATATTGCTTTCTTTATGATGTTAAGACTTCAACAATTTACACACACATACACATCAAAGAGCACGAATTGTTTTATAAAGAAATATAGATAGAGCGTGTTTCTAATAAGAATAAGAACAAGGTTAGGCATTAAATTTTCTAAATGGGAGAAAAAAAAACATAGACATGAAAAAAAAGAAGAACAGAAAAAAAGGTTGAGCGGCCAAGGTATTAAAAAAAAATACAAATAGACGATATGAAAAGAAAAAAGAATCAAAATTATAATTTTCTTTTTTCTGCTTTGTTTTTTTAGTTTTTCCACAACCAGACAGGTACATTGACAGATACGCTTATTATGATTATTGTTTATTGAACCGCTTGTCTAATTTCACGATTGATCAACATGTACGCTGAATGCAGCAGTTATTTCTCCTTTGTCATTCGCAATAGTAACATGATATTGACCTTCATCAGTTGCTAAAACAACAGGAATTTCAAATGAAAATTCCTTTTCAGCATTTGTAAATACAAATCGACTTGATTTACGATCAAGTGGTTTACCATTCATATTCCAATCAGCTATGATAAGTAAAAATGAAATTTAAAATAATACCATATATTTTATAATTTATGTCTTTTTTTTTCTTTACCAGTCATTGGTGTTGAACCTTTGAGTGTGCATGAAAATTTCGCTTTACGACCTTCTTCTACACTAATACTTTGTGGAAATTGACCAAAGCATGGATCAAGTGGTTCTTCATCACGAGCTTAACAGAAAAAAAACAATTTTATTTAATTGGGTAAAAAAAAATATTTACCTTGAATAATGACTGAGCAAGATGAAAAACGTGGATTAACAATTGTTTGACTTTTTATTAAAGCTGAAAAGACACCTGAATCTTCAGGAAATCTATAAAAATTAAGAAATTATTAAAAAACAAAGATTTTGGTTGTTTTTTTCTTTTATATAATTACACTTCAGCAACGACTAATTTAAATGAATTTCCATCATGTTCACGTCGAAAATCCGGATTTTCAGGAATTTCTTTATTATTTCGTAACCATGTTAACTCAATTTCTTCATTACCGCCTAGAAAAATGCGAAGAAGAAAAATTTTTCGCATTGATATAGAAGCTTAAATAGATATTTACCTAAAATAACACAATCAAGTGTTAATGGATCACCTTCCATTAAATTTTGAGATTTAATATGTTTAACAAATTTTGGTTTGACTTCAGCTGGTTTTTCTTTTTGTTCTTCTTCATCTTTTTTCTTTGGTTCAGCTTCTTCTTTCTTCTTTTCAGGTTCAGCAGGTGGTGCTTCTTCAGCAGCTTTTGGTTTAGCTTCTTCTGTCTTTTTCTTTTCATCTACAGCTGGTTTTTTTGTTTTATCATCAGCAGGTTTCTTGCCAGCTGGTGCAGCAGCTTCTTTCTTTTCTTCAGGTTTCTTAGCTGGTTCAGGTTTTTTCAAAGCAGCAGCTCCAACTGGTTTCTTTTCCGGTGCAGCTGGTGTTGCTGGTTTTTTACCAGGTGCCGTTTTACCAGCAGCTGGTTTAGCAGGTTCAGGTGCAGGTTCTGGCACTGGCGCTGGTGCTGGCTCAGCTGGTGGTGCTGGCTCAGCAGGTGGAGCTGGTTCTGCTGCTGGAGCAGGAGCAGGTTCAGCACTAACTGGTGCTTCGGCTGGTGCCGGTTCTGTTGGAGCACTGGCATCTGCTGCAGCTTCAGCAACAACTTCTGATGGAAGTTTTTCTTCAAGTTTAGCTTCTGTTTCACTAGCAGCACCTTCAGTTGGCTCAGCAGCAGGAGCAGCAGCAGTAAGAGCTTCTTCACTTGCTGCTTGTGGTGCTGCTTGAACAGCTGCTTCATCTTCTTGAGCTAATGATGCAGTGTATTCTGCTTCATTTTCACCGATAACATGAGCTATAAATACATAAATAAATCATTAAGATGTAAATTAGATTAATTATCAAAACTACCTTTGACCGTAAGCTGTGCACTTGATGTATCCGAGCCTTCTTCATTAGTAGCTCGACAAATATATTCTCCATTATCATCTAATTTAACTTTTTTGATGACTAATATAGCTACATTATCATCATATGTTTGTTGAACACGAGATTCAATTGCTACAGACTAAAATAAAAAATTTTTGTTTTTATCAAATATATATATTATATTTATAAAGCTTTATACCTCGCCATTCTTCAACCATTCAACCTTAGGTGTTGGTTTGCCTTTAACTTCACAGCGCAATTTAGCTGTAGCACCTAATCAAAAGACAAAATATGTATTCAATAAAAATAAATAACACTTGTTGTATATATATACCTTCGAAAACAGTAGCATCAACAAGTTGATCAGTAAATTTTGGTGGGTCACGACGTTCCTTACGTTCTAAATAAAGCAAATTAATTCTTTATCTATCAACAAATAGAAAAATATTATTTAGTTAATCAACACGGGAATTATATTTTTATAATTGTCATATAGATAAAAAAAAGATAATTTTAAGATAATGTTTATCATAAGAATGTAATAAATAATCATTATATTGAAATAATTGCTATAACTTACTTGGTTTTTCGACATCAAGTGTATCACGTGCAGGTTTATCAGCAGCACCTAATTTATTACGCCAACTTGCATCTCTACCTGATGCACGAATAGGTGATGGTGAATGTGGTCGACTTCCACCATGTGATGTATCTTCTTCGCCTGGTCGAGCTGAATGAGCACGTCGTGTTCGACGCATTTCTAAAGAAAATGATGTTCATTTTTTTTCTATCATAAAAAAGAAAGAATTTTATTGAAAATTATTTATTTACCTTCAACATGTACTAAACAGGATGTTTCATCAGTACCTAAGGGATTTGTAGCACTGCAACGAAACATTCCAGTATCTCCTGTTTCACATGTTGTAATCTCTAAGGTACAAACACCATGAACACATGATGTCATATAATGGCTATCGTTTTCACTCAATTGATTACGATCTTTAAACCATTGTACCTATTGAAAGAAAACCATTACTTTCGTATATTGTAAAATAATAAGAAAAAAAATTATTAACCTTTGGTTGAGGTTTACCATTAACGCAGCAAATCAATTTACAACCAATGCCTTCTTGAATAAGACGTGGTCGAAGCATGAATGTAAATACTGGTTTAGAGTCAGGCTCATGCCATATACCAACTTCTGCATCGTGTGCTGGACGTCGGGTATAACTAAGATCTCGAGGTTCGACACGCGGTGTTTCAGGGAGAGCTAAATAAATAAAAAAATAAAGAATTATTTTTATTGAAAAAAATAATTTAAGAAAAATTAAAAATTTATAATTTATTAACAATCTTACACGATGGACCAACTGAATGTGGTCGTTGTAATAATCGTTGTCGATAGAGCGCACGATAAGCATACGGTGTTTCAAAATTATGATGTCGTGGTGAACCACCATACATAACACGCGAAAAGCTCGAATAAATCGATGATGAATTGAAGTAATAGTTGTCCATCTCTCCCTCTTACAGCAGCAGTGGCAGTAGAGGAGTGATGATAAAAAACAACAAGAGAAGAAAGAGACAAGAAAGTAAACTAAACAAGACTATCTAAACCACATGAAAGATGAAAGAGAGAGTTGTCGACACCACATATGTTGATCTCTATTTCTCCATGCTGTTTCTATTAGGACACACACATACGCAAAAGAAACCACATAGATGATGTCCCTCGAACTGCTTTATACGGATGCGCAAGTAAGACACACACACACATACACATACACATACACATACACATACACATACAAAATATCTGTTTTATTCAACGATATTGGTTCTAATCAAATAACATCATCGTTATGTGGATGTGTATATGCATATACATAAGAATAGCAAAGACGGATACAACATCCTTTATTCTTTTTCTTCTTAGACAAGTACTATACGGCGCAAGAACATTCTTGGCTACCACCACCGCAAATCAACAACAACAACAACTGCTATGTCAGTACCCATATCGTTAATTATTCCTTTTTTTTCTTCTTCTTCTTCTTTTCTCGTTGTTTCCACTATCGAGATATTTTCTGCACCATACCGAGAGTGAGATAGAGAGAGAACAAAAGCAGCTCGTATCCTGCCTGTACATCATATCATCTTACCCGTTCTTTTCTTTTCTACTTGTATATTACCAATCCAAATATATCTTTTCTTTACTTTCTCCGCACTGATATTCGTCCGGTAAGAAAAACACCATAGCCGCTAAACTATTTTCAACATATAATTTGCTCGTTTGATGTCTGCTAGGTGTCAATCAACCCAAGGCCTTTATTTTGACGACTAATTCGTCCAATAGGTTGCCTACATTTTGTCTTCTTTACTTTCCAATATTAAATCAAATATTTCGTTTATATTAATTGAACAAGAAAGAGAAATACAAATAAATAATAACGCTGATCTATCTGTATACTATTTCCTATATAAAAATAGTCCAAGGACATACAACACGTTCTCTCTATTTGTAGACTGATGACGTCTATAATAACGACAATACTGAGAGTCAAGAGTGTCATTATAAGCAAGAAAATCTATCCTATCTGACATTGACTAAAGCAAGAAAAAAAAAGATCGATGGAATCTATCGATAACCGTCAAGTATAAAAATAGAAGAAGAAGCCGATCATATTGAGAATAACACATATATATAATAAATGTGGTACAATCTTTAATGTTTGATGACGTTGAAAAATCTGTACTGCATATTCTTTTAAGTAAGGATACAGATGGTTTGCGGTTCATAGAGAAAATTATGCAATGGAAAAATGAGTAGAGAAAAGTTCATTATATACGTATATATCTAACGAGTAAAAGATGACGGTCACATAATCAATCATGAAAGATAAACTAACTTATGTGTTATTCAATAGGGAAAATAATTATTATAATTGAATATTATAGTACTTACATTCAACAGTTAAAAAGACGGCATATTCTTTTTCACCATAACTATTTGCTGCTCGTACAATGTATTCTCCTTTATCATCTTGTAAACAACGTTTGATTTCAAGTTTATAATTATTTCGATCGTATTTCTTTAAATGCTTTGTTGATTGACGAATTTCAAGATTATCACGATACCTACAAAAATAAAATACATTTTGTTTTTTGTGAATGAATAAATAATTAATTGAATTCTAATTGATTAAATTACCAAGAGACAATAGGGGGAGACACAGCAATAATACGACAATCAAATTCAGCATTTTGTCCTTCTAAAACATGAGCATTACGAGGACGAAGAATAAAACGTGGTACAGCTTCACGACGATCTATTATATAATTATTAAATATAATTTAACTAAAAAAAGAAAGAACTATCAAATTCTTACCCCAAGAACTATTATAAATTTTATAATCTTGTGGTTTATTTTTTCGAAGTGAACTCCAATCAGCCATACGACCAAGACCAATTGTTTGATCAGGATTTTCAGGCTTTAAATAAAAAAACAAAACTAATAAAAATTTCTCATCATTTTTTAAAAATTAACATACATATCGATCACGAATACGTTGACGAATATTATCAAATCTACTTGATGGTATACGTGAATCAAGTTCAGGACGATCTTCACGTAACCATGGATGATCAAGTGCATCATGAACAGTCATTCGACCCCTTGAGAAAAAAATTTATCATGAATAAATAAAAATAGATTAAAAATCATAGAATATTTACTGTCGGCTTTTTAATAAAAGTTTTTGTATAAAATCTTTTCCTTCATCAGAAATGCCGCTAAATACTTCATTTGGAAAACGTAAATCACATTTGCGTATATTCGCCGCTGTGTCCTCATCATTATGACCACCAAATGGTGATAAACCACTTAAACTAAAATTAAAAATAATCTCGAATAAAACTAAAACAAATTCTATTTTCATATCTCTTACAGAACATAAGCAAGAACACCAGCTGCCCACATATCCGTATAAAATCCAACACTATCGTGTTCGACAATTTCTGGTGCAGCAAATTCAACTGTTGCTGCACTAACTTTAACAATATCATTAGGATCAAGTTTTGTAGCTAAGCCAAAATCACATATTTTTATATTTGTACTATTTTTTGTTTCACATATGATATTTTCCGGCTGAACACGAAAAAAAAACCGAACACTAAATTCAAGTCTTTATTATCAATTTTGTTTTTTCTTACTTTTAAATCCAAATGAACAATATTATTTTCATGCATATGCTTAAGACCTTCACATATTTGTCTCATATATTTAATAGCATCAGCTTCAGTCATTTTATAATTTGGATCAGCAATACGATCAAATAATTCTCCACCAGCAACAAATTCAGTAACCATAGCCATTTCATTTTCATCTTCGAATGCATCATGTAAATGAAGTAATTTCGGATGACTTAAATCCATCATAACATCCATTTCATGACGAACAGCTGCTTTATCAGCCGGTGTTGATGTCGGAATGAGTTTTGCAGCGTAAGTTTTACCAGTTGCTTTTTCAATACAACGATGAACAACACCAAATGCACCACTTCATAAAATAACAAAAACAAATTATATATTTAAGATAAAGAAGAAATCGATTAATTTACCGTCCAATTTCTTCGAGAATATCGTAATAATCATAAATACTTCCATGTTTTAATGTAGCTCGTTGTGGTTGACGTCCTTTATCCCAAATATCCCAGACTAAAGTAGAGAAAAATTTATGTTGCAAAGTTTATAAAGTAAAAAAGCCTTTGAAATATTAATTTATAAAAACGAAAACACATAGCGAACTTAATTTTTACAAATTCATTGATTCGAATTTTTAGTTAGAAATGACTCTCATAATCGAACATTAAGACAAAGAAGCTTTGTCAGAGATGTCCCTCACTATTTCTTCAGATTTGATGATATGTTACATTTTTATTTCGCTATTTTTGCACTTTTTGTTTAAATTTTGAACCAATAAACAATATCTTAGGTAGTGCAATGATTAACAATGTTTAGTCTAACAAGGATTCACTCTATAATAGTTATTTTTTGTTAGATACTTACAGCATCGATCATAATTGTCTAATTTTGGTAAATTCTTATTCTTTCGTCGTAATAAATCATCATCTTTTCCTAAACGACGTCTACGATTCGCATCGGAATCTAAACAATAATTATAATTATTCTTATTATTATATTCTTTTTCTTTGTAAATTTACCGTTTGTTTGAACAGGTTGCGTCGGCTCTGATGGTTCACCAGCTCCATGAATATTTTCGGCAGTAACACGAAATTTATATGGCTTATTTGGTACTAAATTTTCCACATTACAATGAGGAAATCGACTTGTTGCTGCTTTAAGCCATTTTCCTGTGTCAGGATCAAGTTTTTCAATAATATAATTTGTTATATAACTTCCACCATCACTTTCTGGTGGATGCCATGATAATGCAATTGAATCATCTGAAATTTCATTCACTTCTGGAGTAGATGGTGCATCAGGTACGTCTATTTAGAAAAATAAAACGACAAAGAATATTTTAAATAGTCAAATAAAATGAAATAATCAATTTTTACCTGATACATGAATACGTATTGTAGCTTCATCGGCACCTAGTTCATTATCTAATTTTATTTGATATGGTCCACTTGTATTTTTATCTGTATTTCTTATAGTTAATGTTATAGCACGAGGACTAACATCAACTGATACATTTTTATCATTTGTTATATCATTTCCATCTTTTGTTAATTTTGCATTTGGTAATGGACTGCCAGTATAAGGAATTTTTATAACAATAGGTTCACCTTTATCATAATTAAGAACATCTTGATATTTTAATGGTAAACGAATACGTGGTGGTGCTAAAAAAAAAGAGAGTAATAAGTATCTTGTTTGATTTTTTAAGAATAAACTTTAACTTACATCGAACATCTACATTACAACGACACATTCTTGAACCACCTGGATTTCGTGCTTTAATACTATATTCATCAACATCATCTGGTGTGGCATTATTAATAACTAAGATACATTTATCACCTTCACGAGTCATACTATATTTAAGATTTTCAGATAATTCTTTGGTTCCTTTGTACCTGAAAATAAATGAAAGATATTTATTCTTGTAATGTTTAATTGAAAATAAGATGAAAACAAACCATTCAATTTCTGGTTTTGGTGTTCCAATAACTTCAGCTTCTAAACGAATTGTTTTACCTTCATTACCTTGAATATCTTTTAATTTTTTAAGAAATTCTGGTGGTGTTGAAGCTTTTGGATCTTTAATCTAAAAAACAATTGTTATTATTAAAAAGTTTTATTTTTATTCTTTTTACTTTAGTTAATTTTGATGCTTCAGATGGTATTCCTTTTCCAGCTTCATTTTCTGCTATAACACGAAATTCATAATCATGATCTTCAAGTAATGATGGAACTGTATATCGATTCGATAGACATG